GTAACACTCAACAGGTCAAGTTACCATTTGAAATTTAGAGCGGGTATTATAAAACTGCTTTGACAGTTAACTTGAAGTTAACTTTATGAATTACATGTAATTCCAGAAGTTAACTTTAAGTTAACTCTCAAAGTAATTTTATAATACCCGCCCTTCAACACTTGCAGTTAACAACAATAGATCTGTTTCTGCAGAAATCACAAACCAATTAAAGTGAATTTCATTGGTTGAAACTAGTTTTCTGACTGTTTCTGACTGTTTTCAACCAATGAAATTCGCTCTGACTGGCTTGTGACTTCTGCAGAAACAGAACTAATATGTAACCCCAAGGATAATACACACTACTAAGGATTGCTTATCGGCCTCGCTTTTGGCAATCGCCGCCATATTGGTGTGTCACCATTTCCGACGTCATAACTAAATCGTCAGCTGTTTGCACTAGCGGTCGTTGTTTAGAATTTAAAGGATAGCGCACACCTACCATGGGATTTTTGGGCTCTATGGATTTTGCCCATTTTTTGATATGTTGTAGAGGATTTAATTCCTAACAACCTTTAAATGAGTCAAAGTCATGTAGGTATTACGGTCTTTGAGATATGAGTGTTGAAAGATGAACTTATTTGCGACTTTTTGTGTGGAGAGTATACGTAATACTGGTGTTTGTCAGTCAAAATATCGACAGAGGTTCACATATTTTACGTCACTAACAAATCTCAACATAGGCTAAGGCCGGGACCACACTGGCGCCAACATTGGTCCCAGTGCGGTCCCGGCCTTAGCCGATGTTGATATTAATTTGTTGTGACGTAAAATATGTAAACCTGCCAATATTTTGACTGATAAACACCAGTAGCACCAGTATTTCGTATACTCTCCACACAAAAAGTCGCAAAAAAGTTCATCTTTCAAAGCTCATATCTCAAAGACTATAATACCTACAAGATTCCGTCCCATTTAAAAGTTGTTAGGAATTAAATCTTCTAATATATCCAAAAAAGGGCAAAATCCATAGAGCCCAAAAATCTCATATAAGGTGTGCGTTATCCTTTATGATGAAAAATATTATTTAAATTTGATTAACATAATAGGCAAAGACGAAGATGAAAACGAGATCAAAAAAGAATTGTTTTAGAATGTTAATTAATGTAGTAAAATCAAGTATGCATAAAGCAAAAGCCCGCGGAATCATACATAACCAGTGGTGCAAAAAGCCTACCTACGTCAAGGCAAGAAAGAACATGCTGCCCAAGGATGATACACACCTACAAGGATTGCTTATCAGCCTCGTTTTTGGTAATCGCCGCCAAATGACCTCATAGATAAAACAGTAAATCCACTTTATTGCTTTGCAGACGATGGCAATGTAGTCTCCTCACTCATACCACCCACAGGTCTTTCCGCACGTGAATTCCATCATCTTAGACTAACTCAAATATCGCAGATAAATAACGACCTGGAGATAATAGAGGACTGGGGTAACAAAAACCTTGTACAGTTCAACGCGCAGAAAACCCAAGCAGCTCTGTTTTCAAAAAAGACCAGCACCGGTGAGCCAAACATCATGCTATCTGGAAGTGCTGTCACATTACAGAGTCAGTTGAACATCTTGGGGGTTACTGCAGAGACCGACATGTCTTGGCACAGTCACGTGGCAGATATTGCTAAAAGGGCCTCCCAAAAGCTGGGGGTGCTATTTCGTACAAGACATCTGTACACACCAAGCCAATTGCTGACACTCTACAAAGCCCAGATTCGACCAACTATGGAGTACTGCTCACATAATTGGAGTGCAGCACCCAAACATACCTTAATGCTTTTGAATACCGTGCAAAAACGAGCTATCAAGCTGATCAATGACCCCGCACTTACTCGTAACTTGGATGGTTTCGAACATCGCAGATCTGTGGGCGATTTATCTCTCTTCTACAGGTACTATCACGGAAAATGCTCTGAAGAGTTGGCACGTATGATTCCACCGAGAGTAGCACCTACCAGGTGAACCCGTCAAACAGACGGTAACCATGAATTTACTGTCAAACTAGAGGCACCAAGAACCTCATTATATCAGAATTCATATCTCTGGAGAACAGCATCGCTGTGGAATAAACTCCCTGCGACGGTTTTCCCTGCAGGTTACAACCTGAACCGTTTCAAGACCAACATACACCGACTTGCCGCTTCTCGAGCGTGATAGGACATTTCCTTGCGAGTGCGCATATCCGTAAAAAAAAAAAAAAAAATATTGGTGTGTTACCATTTCCAACGTCATAACTAAGTCGTCAGCTGTTTAAAGTTTAAACAGCCTACGTCAAGGCGAGAAATAACAACTACGTCACAACTGGTTATTTGGCCTTCGGGTGAAGGGGGGCTTTGTTACACACAGGCCTTAATGAGGATAGGCCATCTTGTAGTAGTAGCACAGATCACTTAATACAGATGCGTAAGTAAGTATCATAGATGGTAAGTATCCTTGCCGTCGACTGATTCAAAGTACAGTGGCTAAATAAACCTTTACATACAGTGGCGACAATAGAGGTCACGCCGCCATCTTGTTCCCAACCTCTTGTTACTTTTAAATATTAATATATAGGATTTAAATGGACATCTATCATAAAAAATTGAAATCGACGTATTTGATGACCATTATCAGGTCCATCAAATACGTTGTTTACCATGATTTATGATGAATGTTCACCTAAATCCCATATATTCATATTTAAAAGTAACAAGGGGTTGGGAACAAGATGGCGGTGCTTTCAATATAAATATATGGGATTTTAGAACCAATCAAAAATGAGACAGCAATTGTCGCCACTGTGGGTTATAGAGTCACTGTAATTCAAAGCTACGAAACCACGGCTCCGCAAGGGGGCCAGCCCCCAGACGTATAGATACAGATCACCCGCGTCAAAACAATTAACGCCGCCGAGTGCGTGAGCGCGTTCCAGCCTGTTGTGTTTACATATTTTTTGCGGGTAATAAATAAATAAAGAATAACAAAAATTCATGTGACACATGTGTTTATTTTTACAAAGAATCTGAAACTATCGACAAAAACAAAGTAGACATATTTTTGTCGTTTTCTGATGATGTTTCGAGCAATTTTTTTAAACTGAAATGAGCAAAATCAACTTTATTCATCCGTGTACAGACTTTCCCAAAATATAATATATAATTGAGATATTTGTTAGAAAAAAATCAACCGTAAAATAAAAATAAAATATTGAACCATATTTTTTGTGATCTGCCACAGAATATTTGCGTCAACGATTGCATAATTTCTTGTTGTTTATATAAGGAATATTTTTTTTTTGTTTGTGAACCAATTAAAGAAATAATGTTATATTATTGATCTTCCGTATTTATAAAATAAATATGTTCAAAATTTATTGATGCGGCCAGCGTATGGCCGCCAAATCAACCTTGAACCACGAATTCGCCGCTCTCTCGCATCTGGTATGTAGGTATTGTTGAACTCTCTGTGATATTAGCACGCTTTTTTTTTTTGGTATGTAGGTGATCTGTGGTAGTAGTGTGTATCATCCTTGCATGTTGCACGTCACAATTGGTGATTTGGCGTGGTGGGGCGCTTCAGATTTGTTCCACACAGGCCTTATGAGGATATACTATCCTGTAGTAGTAGTGTGTATTATTCCTGATGTAAACTGGCCTTCAATGACAGTGAAATTTGTCAATTTTGTGTTGATTTTTCCAAATTGGTCTGCAAAAGTTGTATTCCTTTCAAGAGTTTGGAACACTAGAGCTACTCGATCCGTGTAAGTCGACCCCGATTTGAACAGATGCGCTGGTTCTCGTGCAACAAACACTTTTCGACAAGAAAAATAGAAAAACTAAAATATTGTAATTGTAGATATGTAATTTATCGAAGAATGTTTATGCCAAAGAGGAGGCACGATTTACATTGAAAATAGGCCCCCGTAAAATTCAACCAAATTTCAATATTTTAAAGGTATCATCATTACAAAAGAAAATTTGAAATGTAAAGAGGATCGTATGTCTGTGATAGCAGATACAGCTTGTCAAAGTACGTAGGTCCTGCTATGGTATGCATAGGCAATATCCCAGGAAGTATCCCTACGTAGATTTTCTTGAATATCTCGAAAAATACTAATCCGATTTTGACGTTTTTGGGGTTTGATACCTACAAAAGAACCCCAAAGCCTTCTTCTTTAAGCCAATTCTATATATTATAAGAGGTTGCGTCGTGTTGCGTCGCCGAGCTGAGTGAAGCGTAGTGAGAATTGAACTTTATAGCTACATATTTCACAAATATTTTGGGAAGCGCTCAGGGTCGGACTCAGTTAGTGACCAAATAAACATTAATTATTGGCGACAATAGAGGTCCCGCCGCCATTTCCTTGCTTACCTCTTGCTAATTTTAAATATGGATATATAGGATTTAAATATACATCTATCATAAACACTTGAAAACGAGGTATTTCATCACTATTATCAGGTACATCAAATACGAAGTCTTCAATTTTTTATTAGATGTCCATTTAAATCCTATATTCATATTTAAAATTAGTAAGAGGTAAGCAAGAAAATGGCGGCGTTCTCAATATGAATTATGAGTGCCACTAATAGTCACTGCACTGGTCACTGTACTGAGGGTAGAGTAGAGAGTAGAAGAAACTGTGGTAGACTTTAGACTGTTGAGTCGTTGGGTGTTGATGGACCGTTAGACATCAGCTGATAGAAGTTTGGTTAAAATCGATGGAAAATGCCGATTTATTAAATTTTAAAATAAAACAGGGCCAAATTATCAGTAAAATAAAATTCCGTTTCAATCACCATTCAAAATTAGACGCGAAATCACAAACTTTGCGATTGCGAGTTTTCACGATTCCTCACGATTTTGTACGATCAGTCTAGGGTCTAGGGAAGTGCCAATAATATTGTTTTGTGTTGTTTGTTGTTTTTATAATATCAACAATCAGCATAATTTTTTATAATAAACGATAAAATTATAAAAGATCATGGAAAACGTGAACGAAAACGACTTATTAGAAGTCGAAAATGAGGATGGCGCCTCAAACAGCCATTTGTCGTTAGAGGACAGCCCTGAGACCAATGCTGGACGCCGCAGGTGAGTCTCCCTATCATCTCCATATCGATAATATCAACCTCAACCTATTTTAATGTTCTCAATTTCAGCTCAAATAGGTCTATAAAACGTAAAAGATTCGACGATGAGCTTGTCGAGTACAGCCTCGGAATTCCGGGCTCCTCAAACATAAAGGTAAAAGCCGGCTCAGAGCTTTCGTAATGTGAGATTCAACTTCTTAAAGTACAGAAAGGCGTGTAAGGCCTATTTATAAATTTGATGTTACGATTCCTTTGCCATTTGCGACGGCTGGCGGGCTTGCCGTTATCCTCACTGTTCCTAGTCAGGAAAATTGGACCATTTATAACCTTAACCTTCTCAAAAAGTAAACAATAAACATAACCTGTATCATCATCATTTTGAGTGATTTGACAGGCATTTGGTTTTTTTTTACTTTTTTGTACAGGGTCTTTGATTATATTTAAGCCCATACATACAGCCTTCACAATTTAGTAAGAATAAACTGGAAAGTTTTTTCCTATATTATCATTCAACGTTATCAGAATGAACAAAATTGCATCGGAAAATGGAAAAACTTAGACAACTTCAACTTTTTTTAATGGAACACCCTGTATATTATGCGATCAAATGAAAGATCTTGGGCAAGTTTTCAAAATCATCAATGACATAGTGCATTTTCACCAATGTAATGCTGTCCTTGTCATTTGACAGCAGCAAAACAAGGATAGGTTACTCATCAAGAGAAATGTGCATAAGCAAATGGTGAATTTCAAAACTTGGCCCTCTTTTCTTCCTAATTCCAAATATACATACAGGGTGTTTCAAATTCGAGCCACATCATTGGGATCTCGGAAGCGGTAAGGGATACAGGGTTGGTTCCATACTACTTGGATATCTAGGATATTCCGGATACTTCCGGAGATATTCGGAAAAAAACTGAAATTTAGCAAAATTGTTTTTATTTTTTCTTGACTTTATTTAAAGTAATTTTTAAAAAAATATGTCACTTCATCATAGCCACTTTTCCTCCCCTACAAGATGCTACCTTCAAATTTGAAATCTGACGTTTCGTCTTTAAGCATCATCAAACTTACGATGTGTCTCGAATTTGAAACACCCTGTATATACCAGTTGACAATGAAACTACTACCCATGGCAGCATTTATTAACGGCTCGAGATGGAAATATGCAACTCGATTTGTTGATAGGGTTGAAAATTGTGAACAATTTTAATTTAAAAACAATTGAATTTCTTCTCAGGTTTTACCGGAAATGGCATTGACTTTATTATTTTACATGGGACACCAAGTATATTATCTTTTTTTTGGACTCTTTGAACAATTCTAAATAACTTTTGTCTGACATACCCTAGGTATGTCAAAAATTGATAGTTTTTGAAATAGAGTGGCTCAAAAATATGTCGTAATTCCTATTTGTTTGTATTTTACGTAAAAACTGAGTATGCCAGAACAAAAAAAATCATGGTTATTTGCTCCTTCTTCAAAGAGGTATCCGATAAATAATAAAAGAGAAGAATTAATGCAAGTTAAGAAAAACGCAATTTCGAAAATGAATGTTTCAGTTTTTGATCCGACGAAAATGGTTCAACTTATGGAAATGAAACTTCCACTACCCAATCCTACTTTTTTATCCTTTATCCAAATATGACAAATTCAACGTTCCTAGACACTTGCAAAATTGGAAATTTGATAACCCATTTTCAAGTTGTTGGTGCTCATCTAAAGCCAAAATCAATATTACTTTCTTAACTAAACTTATTTAATTACGTATACCTCCAAAGTTGGCTATGAATTTGGCAGGTGTCTATGAAGGTTGCAGTTGTTATATTTCGATTAAGGATAAAAAAGTAGGACTGGGTAGTGGAAGTTTTGTTTCCATAAGTTGAACCATTTTCGTACAGGGTCCGATCAAAAACTGAAACATTCATTTTCGAAAAATGCGTTTTTCTCAACTTGCATTAATTCTTCTCTTTTATTATTTATCGGATACCTCTTTGGATAAGGAGCAAATAACCATGATGTCTCTTGTTCTGGCATATTCAGTTTTTACATAAAATACAAACAAATAGGAATTACGACATATTTTTGAGCTACTCTATTTCAAAAATTATCAATTTTTGACATAGGGCATGTTTGACAAAAGTTATTAAGAATTGTTCAGAGAGTCCAAAAAAAAGATAATATACGGGGTTCCCATTTAAAATAACAAAGTCAATGCCATTTGCGGTGAAACCGGAAAAGCCATTCAGTTGTTTTTATATTAAAATTGTTCAAAATTTTCAACCCTATCGACATACGGAATTGCATATTTCTATCTCGAGCCGTTAAGAAATGCCGCCATGGGTAGTAGTTTCATTGTCACCCGGTACACACTTAAGTGCATAGAAATCGGCCCAATGCTAACTTTTGACTTCACCCATTTTTTTTTTTAGAAACTATTTATGGGATTATTATTATAATACATAATTTCAACTTTTATTAGATGATATTAAATTATTTTTCGAATGGCATGTTTCTTTTTTAATCTCATGAATAGTTTCTAGAAAAAAAAAATAGTTTAAGTCAACAGTTATTAGTGGGCCGATTTCTATGCACTTAAGGTGGCGTTCCGTATCTTAACCAGAGTTACCGATTGGTATGGAGCGGTTCGTTTATGGTGACAGTCTGGTTCCTGAATATACGGTTTATGTGTGGAACCGCGTTTCATAAACTAGCCAGATTTCAGGAGTGGTTAGGTTACGGAACGTTTACCGGAAAAACCAAAAATCTTGGTTAACTTATGGAACGTTCCCCTTGGTGTATATATACAGTGTGTGCATTTTAAAACTAACCACCCCTATTCTCTCGGATTTAAAAAAAAAATGAAAAAATCCCTGAAATGCGTCCCCCTTTTCAACCCTTTAGCCCCCAGAGCCACCCCCTAGAAAATCTCAAATGGGAAGGGGGGTCAAGTGATACATCATTTTGGGCCGATATCTCAATAGCGAATCACCCCCGGGTTAAGCATAACTCCAGGGTAAACATAGTAACTGGACACGCTTACCCTGGGGCTAAAACCAACCCGGAGGTGACTCGCTATTGAGAAACCGGCCCTTTGGAGAGTTTTTATTTCCAAACATTTTGGTACTAAATTTTGATACCTAAGTTCAACTGTTTCGGAAATACCTATTAACAGTTGAAAATTGACTGTTTTGCAATTTTGACAGGCTGTAAAACCTAAACGGTTAATTTTAGAGGAAAACTGATGTTACATTCTTGTCTTAGATTTTCATAAGCTATCATTTGACAACAACTTTGAATTTAATTGGAGATTAAATTTAATTGGAATTTTCAATCATGGATTAAATAAAGTTGGTAGACTACTTAGCAGCAACAATTATAAAAAATTTAAAGATATTTGCAAGGAATTAAATTGGCCAGCAGTTTTGAATTGTCAATCACCACTAAACGAATACCAAAAATTAGTAACTGATGCATTTTTAAAATCTTTTCCATTACAAAAAATTAAGCAATAGAAAAGTAAACTTTGGATTACTCCCGCTATTAAAGTTTCATCACAAAACATGCGTTCGTTACAAAATATTCGCAAATTTACTGATTGTCCTCAGTTCATAAGTTATTTCTGCAGATATAGAAAAATTTACAAAAGTGTTTTAAAAGCAGCTAAGGAAAAGTTTTATCAGAATAGAATAAACTCCTCCAAAAATGCCAGCAAAGAAAACTGGAAAATAATTAATCAGTTAACTGGTAAAAACTCAGTTCTTCAAACAGATGTTAAATTAGATCCCAATATTCTCAACAACTTCTACAGTAGTGTTGCTGATACTTTACAACAAATCTTGAAAAGTAATGTGGATCCTGGTTCTTATTTATTGGATGTTAAAATAAATGACACATTTGTACTGGAAACTACAAACGTATTAGAACTTAATGAAATCTTTAGAGGAATAGAAAACAATAAATCCAGTGGGCACGATAATGTTTCAATAAATTTGCTTAGAAACTTGCCTGATAATGCATTATATGTCTTGTCTGAATGTATTAATATTTCATTTTTAACAGGAGTATTTCCAGACTGCCTGAAAAAAGCTATTGTGTTGCCTCTTTATAAGGGTGGCGAATTGGACCACCCATGTAATTATCGACCAATATCACTTCTCTCGACGTTGTCAAAAATAGTTGAAAAGTTAGTTAAAGAAAGAATATTAAAATATTTTTCAAAACACAACATAATAAGTGACACTCAATTTGGATTCCAACCATTAAAGGGCACCCATGATGCAATGTTTAATCTTTTGGAACAGGTATTCGTCAGTCTTAATGAAAGTGAGCTTGTCGCCGTTGTGTTTTGTGATTTCTCTAAAGCCTTTGATTGCGTAAATCATAAAATAATGCTTAAAAAACTAGAAATTTATGGCTTCGGAGGAATCTCATACTCATGGTTTGACTCTTATTTCTCGGGAAGAGAACAATTTGTTAAGATTGGTGATACTCAGTCATCAAACTTGGCTGTGACCAATGGTGTTCCACAAGGATCTGTGTTGGGACCAATATTGTTTTTACTTTATTTAAATGATATTAATCACCTCCCCATTAGAGCTAAAATAACATCATTCGCTGATGACATTACTCTGTCCTGGAACGGAAAAAATATTGAAGAGTTGAAAAATATTATTTCTGAAGACCTAAATCTTGTAAAGAGCTGGTGTGACTCTAACTTGCTTTGTTTTAACTCTAAGAAAACCAACATATTGACATTTAAATTTTTTTTTGATGATTTATTATTAGACACACATACAATTGAAAATAAAACTAGCTGTAAATTTCTTGATATTCATGTTGATACTCAACTTAAATTTAATGAGCACGTTACAAATCTAAACAAACGATTGGCGAGTGGTTGCTATGCTGTAAGAATAGCGTCAAATGAACTTGGTTTGAATACTGCTAAGTTGGTTTATTTCTCGTTGGTTGAATCTCATATCAGGTATGGCATTGCATTTTGGGGTAACTGTTCTAATAAATTGTTTGATTCTGTTTTTGTCATTCAAAAGAGAGCAGTGCGCTATTTGTGTAAGGTTGGATATTGGGAGCATTGCAAGCCACTATTTTTAAAACATAAAATACTTACAGTATGCTGTATATTTATCATGG